TTAGACTCGATTTGGCATTGATACACATATTGATTTATTCATACGAGTCAATAATCAAGGAATTTTCATATAATTATTTTGATAATCCAACAAAATTATTTTCACATCTATATTTACCTAAATTTTTAGACATTTCAGCAGAATTGTTCTTTCCGTGCGATTTGTGTCTTCACTAAAAGTTAAATCAGTCTTTTTAGAGATCTTTTTAGAGATTTGATTTAATAAATCGTCGCATTTTTTATGTCGTATTTATCGCATATCAAATATTAATTATTTCACGTAGTATTATTTCAATTAGTGTAATAATTAGATTAGAGTGTAATAATATTCATATAATAATGATATATAATATTAATAATGTTAATATATTATTAATAATATGATTAATAGTATATTAATATTATCTCAATTAGTGTATACCGGATTTACGATTAAGTCTGAAATGAGCTGATCGTGATATTATTTTACGATCGTTCAAATTAAAAAAACGCGAAGGTTCTTCAATTACTGCTGCATCTGTTTGATGGTATAAAATTATAAACGATAGTAAAACAAAAACTTATTCACACCCGGTGGCTTTTAATGGTCACCCTCCTGCCGGCTGCTCGGCGAGAGAGCGGGCAAACATCATTACCTCCAAGTTCTGTGTTGCCGGTTATCCGAGGCATTTGTCCACGAATTCACCCTCGTTAAGACACATCCGACCCTCCCCCGCGATTTTCACGTTTTCTCACGCTCTAACTTTTTTGTAACTGGATGAAAATTTCTCCAACGTAATCGTCACGGTATTTTCTTAACAAAATAGGTATTAAAATTAATTATACAATAATTTAATAAGTAACAAAGAGAAAAATATTAAAATGGGAGAGAAATGATAAGATAGAAAAAAGAGAGGAATACATAACTCTTTGTACAAATTCTTTTTTCGAAATGTTTTTGATCTCTCGGCACAGAAATGTAAAAAAAAAATGTTAACTGTATATATTTATACACAAAATCGCAAATTCGCGTTAAAATCATCAAACTAGATAATAGTGCATAAATCTGATAATTTGATAATGATTGATAAATTTGCATTTTTTAAGGGAATATCTATAATTTGTTTATATTAAAAAAAACGATTAATATACAAATTATTACTATTATATTGGGATTAATAATAATATATTTATTGTAATATAATAATAAATATATTACATTAATAATTTATTTATTATTATTTTAACTCTAACATTGTTATTATTATTAATAAATCCTGATGTATAAGATTATATTGCAGTTCAAAGATATTAGAGTCCTAGATACTCTGACAAACGCGTTACCTAACTGTATCTGCACGTGTCACACGTCTACGTGTGTTGCGCGAACTCTCGTTCCTCATGCCCGACTAAGTTACGTGTCCGGATTGCAGGGGAAAAGGAGGGGAGGTGGGGACAGGGCCGGTGGGTTGTTGCAACTTAACAAGCTTAGCTCCCTTAATCCCCTTGTAAGGCAATGTCTACAAGGGGTCAGCCGTTCGCATGAAACGCATCCGTTTACTGCCTGAGCTTTGTCTTCGGCTAGCATTAAAATTCGCGTCGAAAGACCCGCCGGTGAGAGATAGCGGGCAAAGAGATATTAAGATAATTACCGATGCACGTGTTCCAACCCTTTGTAGCACGACGTTGGGATACAGGATACGCAACACGTCGGTCGATCAAAATAAAGATATTTAATATAAAGTATATTATATCAAACTTAGTATTAAATTATTTGATTCTTTTACGTGAATAACTCCTTTTATGTGAATCACTGAAGAAGTAATAGCGCGGATAAAATAGATAAACAGATACTGAGATAAAAATCCATGGCCAAGTATTCATAGTCAGTTTTTATATTTAAGACTGTCTTAAATACAATCTTAAGATGTCATAAACCAATCAGAGGGCTGCATTAGTGTCTTAAGACATTACTTAAGACGGTCTTAAAATAAGAACGGACGAGATACACAAAACTACGAGATATACGACATTTAGAACAAATTTATCACGATATTATGTACGACGAGGAATCGATGTAGCGAAAATGACTCATCAGGCATAGATAGAAACTCAAATAGTACAGAGAGTTCAAAAGAGTTCAAAAATAATTCAGTGATGTGTCGTCATCTGACCTCATTTTCAGATGCAACGAGAATTCTTTTCAGAACTTTTCAGAAAAAGAATACCTTTTACATCTTAAAATGAATTCAGAATTGATGATAGGTGTCAAACTTAATTCCTGCCGTTTTTCGTCTCCAAAATTGATTTGTTTCAAAGGGAAGATGAATGAATACCTTAATCAAAGTAATTTCCTCCATTTTCTGCTTTATTACTAATTAATAATACTTTATTAATAATACTTTTTTTTTTATTAAGGTATTTCCCTTCGAAACAAATCAATTTTGGAGACGAAAAACGGCAGGAATTAAGTTTAACACCTAATATATCACTGAATTCTTTTTAAACTCTGTGCTATCTGAGAAAGCACGTACGAGAGATATATATGAAAGAATCCTCATGACACTTACTTCGCTGCATCCTCCCCACTGCCAATTGTTCGGACGTCGCGCTCTCACACGATTGTCGCAGGAGCAATCGGTAAGCTCGCCTCTGGAACAAGCTCTCGTGACACTGTAAGCGACTCCAGCTGCTGATACGGCGTATATGAACGCGGCCTCTCGGCTATCTGCAAAACGCAAACGGAATTTTTTTTTGTCGCGCTACAAACCAACCACTCGATGGTACTTGATGTTACGAGTGTAGAACAACTCCGAGAAGCGACATATCCGGCCTGAACGGCGTCAGGCATCGAACCGCGTGAGTACTTACTGACTAACATGACGCCGCCAAACACGTTCTCGGGATTTTCCGGGCTGACGGAACAGTTCCATCTCGCTGATCTAAACTGGTGCTGACATTCCTCTATGGCGAGTCTAGCGCCCGCTCTAACTGCCTGCAAGCGTAAGACGGTGAAAGCTAAGAATCAAAAGAAACGCCGCTTTCGGATACTCTCGAGCGACGTTCCCTCGTATCGAGCAAGTCGATGCTCAAACAAGCATTTCCCATTTTTAACATCTTCAACTCTGTACACAGAAAGAACGATTTTGAAGTGTCTAAAAATTTAGCTATTATTAGATACAGATTTGAAAAGAATTTTGTTGGATCGTCAAAATAATTAAGCAAAAATCTCAAGCGATCAGTTTGAGCGTCTTACATAATTATTTCGATGGCCCCACAAAATTGTTTTCAAATCCATATCTAGCTAAATTTTCGGATACTTTAGCAACATCGTTCTTTCCCTGCCATTTAATGTTTTATTCCTTATTCACTTGATTAACCGACCAACTTTCTCTTTATTTTATCACGAGTATGAGTCATCGCTTGAGAGAACACTAGTACTAAAAATGATCATCTAGATAATATCTGACTCTGATAAAACAAATTCCCTGTTTGCGCAAAAACACGACGGCACGCTTTAATAAACCGTAAATCGCGGCCAGCCTACGTAGCAGTAATCGTGGATATCAAACAGTAAACATTCCGTGGGTCATTGAAAGGCGTTTAGTCTCTTAATGGGTTTGGTCGCTCGTTAAAAAATTAAACTTCGATACCCGGACTGACATATGAATATTCATGCCCGATCCTCTTTTGTCGGTAACTTACGCTCGGAAAAGCCGCGCCGCGCTGTCGGCGATATTCAAAGAGATATCGATGCCTCGAGGTTCCCCAGTTTGCCTAGGTGCCTAGATAGATTCCTAGACCGTCCCCTTTCCCCCTCGCCATCCTCCGCTCACCCCCGACACGTTTTGTGCATTAAGGAAAGGTAAACGCGATTTCGGGACGGTGTGAACCGCACGACGTCCGACTCGTTTTTGTCACGAACAGCATCCAGATTAAATCACGCGATGCCGATCGGGAAACAAATTTGTTCCGCTTAAAGAGTTCGTACCTACCTTATTGTATCACCGTAAATGCAGCGGTAAATCTTTGGATGCCGCATAACGTGCGTCCCGTTGCGAAAGCTTTCTCTATCCCGCAACGGATAGACGGATTACAATCAGATTTACAGACGGAGCAGTCGTTTAATTATATAAGGAAACGCGACCGAATTAATTTCTTTCGTTCCACGTTCGTTCAAATTCGTTAACTTGCCCCGTGAAAATTGAAACAATAATAACATACAATGTCGAAACGTTAGTCCGAGAATTCGAATCTCTAGTGGCGATTTCGTAAATTCCCCGGAGATTAAATTCAGATTCTAGAAATTGTCGGAGAGATTATCGCAAACACGCGGACACGAACCCTGTAATTCTACCGTGATTCCCCTGATAATGCCCAGAGCTACTAATCACGACACATTAATCCATTTATTACGCAGCGCAGAGGCGAAGCAGCCGTCGAAAGCTTTCTCAGAAGCGAGTCGACGAAAAATTTCGGCCAGTCGAAGGCCGATGTTCAGCACGCGGTCGTAGGTCCTGCGAATCGAATTAGCCGCGTGCTTCTCCGGGCATTAATCCGAGAGGAAGAGAGAGAGAGAAAGAGAGAAAAAGAGCGGCCGCGAGGCGAGGGCCCCTCCAGGGCCGCTACGAGGTAAATACCTGCAGGACGGGTGGCGAGCGGGAGCATATTGCCTGCTGCTTGGTGGTCAGGTGCGCGTTCTTACAGTTCTTTTCGGCGCTCGCCGGACCGATCACACCCGCGCCGGCGATCTGCGTCTGCGAGTCGACGCCGCTCCCTTGGATCGGGCCGGATGTCAGCCTCGGCTCCAGCCCCAAGTACCTATAAACCAGAACACGCGCCTCGTAATAACGTAATGACGGTTATATCGAGTGATTAATTTAATTAATTCCACGCCTCATTGCACGCGGGTTAGGCGCGCCGCTAAATAATGGGTCGTCGCGAATGAACGGCGCGTTCAACTACCACCCTTGTCTCTCCTGCGATTTATAAAAATGCAGTAGGTATAGTCTTGACCGACGGTACATTGTCGGTTTTTAATTGCTACAGTTAAAGCTGGCTAATTATGGGGAAGAAAGAAGAAAACCTCCAATGAGGCGTTATTGCATCGTGTATGTACGAATAAGATGTGCGATCTCTGATGAGCGCATTCTTCCGCGAGTAACCGTTGCCTTTTGATGCCAAGTCCACGGTAGGATCCAAGGCAAGTCAGCTTAAAGAACGTTATCGAGAGAACGTGGTAGCTCAAGGTTGTAATTAGTGGAAGTCGAGATAGTAAAAATAGAAATTGTTATATTAAACAAAGTATTTTTTAGGACTGTAATAGGAATACATAACAAGTAAAGGCCCTAAATGATCAAGCTGGATCATTAGTTTAAATAATTCAATGTAAATTTATATACTATCCAATCTTGCAAATTGCGCGCCGAATTTAATTTTCTTGAAACGTAATTCTTAAGAGAAATTGCTATGTTTAGAATAAACTTGATTAAATTGATATTACAGACATTGAAAATACAATTACATTATCTGCAGCATCTGCCTAAATTTCTGACATTAAATATATATAGCATATAAATAAAAAATCTAAAAGCATAAAAATTTGAGATTAAGGCTGGTATTTGTAGCCCTTATTTCAAGACCGTCTTGAGTAATGTTTTAAGCTAATGAGGCTCTCTGATTGATTCTAACATCTTATTACAGGGTTGGGTAAGTTAATTTTTTCTTTTAACTAAGTTAAGTTAAAGTTAACAACCTTGAAAATTTAATTTAGTTAAGATACAAGTTAATGTATAATGAAATTAATTGAATTAAAAGTTAAATTAATAAAAAAAAGTAATTAAAAAATTAAAAGTTAAATTT